TTCCACTTTATTATCGCTTTCTGGCCCATGTGTGATAACGTCCATGGGCAGGTTTGTATAGAATATAGTTAAATGTGATCACAGAATCATAGATCATGCTGAAAATTTTTTCTGGTATGATTTGTATCAGGGGTTGACATCATCACTGCTAGTACAATCTCATGCCCCTTGTTCTTGGAAAAGGTACTTTTTTGGAATACAAGTTGTATTCAAGACAACTTTCCCAAGTTCTATCTCACAAAAACCCTGCAAGGTGGACTACAGAGATAAATTAACAAATGCATTTCTGAGTTCTTTTTATATTGCATGGGCATAGAAGTGATAACTATTGCCAGGTTGTCTAGAAAGCTTTGCAGATAGTAGAGCAATACTAGGCAGGTCTTCTGAACAGAGGCAAGGATAGGAGACAGGCTGGGGACAAGGATTCAGTTGGATACTTCTATTTACAGTTCCATCCTGTGTCAGTACCATTCCTCTGTTGACAAGGCATCAAAACATCATCCTACCCCATAAACAGGATGAATGGGAACAAGAACTACACTCTTAGCAAGCTCCCCTCCAGTTTAGCACCTGGTGTCCATGTTGTGTAGTGAGTGGTTTGAGAGCATTGGACACTGGAGATTATCAGATGGGGAATGGGAGCAAAGCCTGTCCTTATCCCATCCGTGACAGCGATCACGCGAAAGACATTCTCACATCTCATGCTGTTCCTGTCATAAATCTGTCAGTGAAGTGGAATTGCATTAATGGGTTCCCCCCCCCCCATTAATGCAAAATGGAGGACAAGGACAGGACAATTCCACTTCACTGACGGGACAATGACAGGATCAGCGATATGTCATTTGAAAGGATTTCGTGCAATTTCTGTCACTCGTGTCACTTTTGACTAGGACAGACTTAGAAAGTTTCTTTGTGGAGTGAAATTCAACGATATCTTGTTTGTACCACCACTTTAAGGCTATAGTCTTAGATGCCCTTATTTCTTCATTTGTTGTTGCACTTGTTGCTGTTGTTGTTATTTGTATCCTGCTTTTCCCCAAAAAACTGGGACTCAAGAGTGGCTTACAGTTTAAAAGAACAGTACAACTGAAAACATACAAAAGTGATGCATTAAAATAGAACTAAATTATTACAATATTAAAACAATTAACATGCAGTGAGACAGGCTGCTGTTGTTTTTACCACTGATAAGTAGTACTCAGTAAATTTAGAACCTGCCTTTCTACATGAAAAGGTGGTCAAGGTGGCTAGCAATAATAAAATAGAAGATAAATATATGGTTATAATCAAAATATAAGAGCCTGTCAATTAAAACACATCAGTAAAATTTATAAACCACCACCCAGTAATTTAAACCTAATAGCAAGAACAAACAAGTTCCTGTTAAAGACTGTGTGGGATACTTGCGTACATAAATAATAGGCGAAAGAGCCTAAAGTACACTTGGTGTCATATGTGAAATACAAAGAGCATTTTAAGTAGTTCTTCGGTGTTATAAACATGCTTTGATGCATTTTAGATCCAATGCAGGTTTAACAGCTGTTTTTTTTAAATGCTGTCATCTTCCTCAATTTGCTGGAATACCAAAAGGGAAGTATTTGAGTGACATGTTTAAAACATATATTTATTCAGCTTAGAGCAAACATGAAGTCATTCGGTGGCTATTAAAACAGGTGGGAAGCTGAAACAGTAATATAAATGTAAATGAACATTTCTGATGTCATCCTGTGATATTTGTTCCACTCTTGCAACTGCCTCCTGGTCTTGGGACTGAAACCAGAAACTTAAGCAGTCTTTTTCGTTTCTTTTGTGTATTTGGCCAATTATCTTTTAGTAGGTGAGAGCCACTCCTTAATTTCCTCTCTCCTAAATTAGCCAAACTCATTTCTCTTTAGTACCTCGACATTTCCACCTATGATTAAATTGTTTTAAAGAAAAAAGAAATGCACAATTTATAGAATATAGTGTGAAAAAATTCTGGAGCATTGAAGTACATTTTGATCTCCATTTTATACACTTTTGCCCTTTCCCACTTCTTCCTTGTCAGTACATTTACATTCGGGCCACAGCCCAATCTTGATTCTATCTTGACTGAACAAGGAAGAAAGCTCAATTTACTATTGCTAGCCTGTATTTTCATTTGCACTAGTGCAGAATATGTTGTCCATATACATACTGACAAAGCCAGCATGGTGTAGTGGTTTCAGCATCGGACTATGACTCTGGAGAGCAGGTTCAAATCCCTCATTGGCCCACTGGGTGACCTTGGGGAAGTCATACTCTCTCAGCCTCAGAGGATGGCAATGGTAAATTCCTTCTGAAGAAACAGGACAAGAAAACCCTGTGATAGGGACACCTTAGGGTTGCCATAAGTTGGGAATGACTTGAAAGCAAACAACACACATACTTTATTTACAAGTAGTTGACTACTCCTCTTTCACAATCTGCTTAAATTAGGGAAGGGAATTACATGCTCCTCAGAGCTTTTTCACCATAAAAGATCCAGTTCCAAGGCAAGAACTCCATCTGTTGTTGAATTCCATCATGCTGATATTTAGGCAGAAAAGTAATTTAGGGACCAGTGGAAACACAGGCTTATCGAGGAGGGAAAAAAGTGGTCCTTTCCATATTCTTTTCATATTTCCATATTCTTGGAACTCTGGCTTGCCTCCTCCCATGCCGACACAGCAAGCCAGAAAAACAAGCCAGGTTGCTGCTGCTTAGTTCAGGCAACATAAGCAAACCATGGAGTAAAGCTCAGTATGTATACATTGCTCATACACAATAATCCAGGGTTGTCACAATTCCCTGTTATGTATGGACATGGCCAATGCCAACTCTGAAAACACTTTAAGTAGGCAAGATGTACTTTCTCAAAAGAACATGTTTTTGTTACATTTGGACTTCAGAAGTTCCAGATTCAAATGCCCACAAAACCATGAAATTAATGGATGATGGCAGGCCAGTCATTCTCTCTAAGCCTACCTTACAATGTAGTTGTCAAGAAAAAATGGACAAGAGGAGAGCTGCACATGCCACCTTGAGCTGGATGAAAGAAAAGCAGCATATAAATGTAACAAAATAAAAATGTCAATTACTTGTAAAACAGGAGAATGCCACCAGCTTTCTTGGACATGCAAGCATGTTTCAGTCATGTATGACTACCACTAGTCTTGAACACATAATTATAGTTCCACAGATATTTTAAGATAGTGTATTTTAATGTGTTTTCTAGCACTAGAAGCAAATATGAAAAACATCCAGAACAAAGCTTTGGCTTAGTATTCAAAACTGTCTTATTTACAATTGGTTGGATTACATAGTTAACAATATTAAAATGTTCTTGGTTCACAATTTGTTTACATAAGTATAAAACAATTTACTACACAGAGGTAACAAAGGGCTGATGCCCTTTTGGGTCTCCTACCAATTTTACATTCTAACAAACATTGCAAATATAACAAATATTTCAGTCTGTTTCAAGAGGAACTCTATGAAACAGGCTAGGACACACCCTTATTAGCAGAAAACTGTTTCATCAGAAAGCCTAATCTATACTCTTTGTCTCTTTATTGATCTGTTAGGCTGTACAACTGATTGTAGCTGACCATTTTTTCCACATTATAGAACTGCCAACTGGTGTGGAGCACATAATGTAGGATAACATTTAAAGGAGACACTTGCTAGATTCTCATGTATCAACCTAGCAACATCTAAATATCTTGGCTGCATTTAAGTTATAGTGAGCACTGGCACAATTGATTGCAAAGTCACTTAAATAAAAACTGCTGTTCAGGCTTAAAACATAATTTGAAATGTATGTTTCCTTTGTTTAAAGAGAAATAATTTCATAAAACAGCAGTGGTTTATTCATACAAAGTCTAGAATACTGGTGATACTCAAATAACTATTTTGGAAAGCAATTTTATTGAAGAGTTAAAATACATAACAGCGGTGACAAAAATATTTGCATTGATCAGATATGTGCCAGCACTAGTGGATATTTTTTTTAAAAAAAGCATTGTATAAAAGTAGAAACATTTAGTTTATATAATAGTATAACTATGTTATCCATAGAATAAAGTATATATAGGAATAAAGTAGGGTTAAAAGCTTTAGAAATTCCTTTTGAAAAATAACATTTGAACTCTGATCACATATAAAAGCAGCACTGCTGTGTTACATGCAAGCAAGATACAATTCAACATCCTTTCTTATATGTACATTAATTAAAGAAGTTTATTTTTAAAAATCCAAATATATATTCTTATCTGTATGCATTAACTTTCATGTACTAGGATAAATAAAACATATATTGAGAGTTGTAGGTATGTTCTTATCCTAACAAAAATTCTATTGTATTCCATAGTATAAAGAAACCATGTCCAAAAGAGTATTTGTGTATGCAGAATCAAATGTGTTTCACTCAAACATCCATAGTCAGAAAAGAGGTGGAGTAAAGTAAAATAAATCAGATAAATAAAGTATACATACTTCTTGTACTATGTGTTTTTTTTTCCTAAATCAGTGAATTCTAGTATACCCCCAATAGAAGAAATTTGGATTTTCCCCAAATGAGGGCAACCTACTGATAAGCACAGTACATTACTTCTGCTTTGCTGAATCGTGATTTGCAAAAAAGACAAAAACAAAACAGCATGGGACGTGTTGTGCCAGTATGTTATGTTGACTGGGTCAAAAAGTGCCCTAATTAAAAAAAAAAAATCAATAGCTTTATTGGGACTTTTTTTCTCCCAGCTGTTTTTAATTTGTAAGCAAATAGTGTGTGCAGCAAGTGGTTAAAATAGGGGAACATAGTTTGCAACTGAACTGATGACTATGTCATAGAATGCCTACAATGCAGATTTAAGGCCCATGTGGATTCTGCAACAAAACTCTCAGGGATTTTGACAGCCCCATCCTAGTGCATGAGGGTTAATCCAACACCAATTCTTACAAAGTAAATAAGATTATATTATATATAAAATTTCATTCTCATTTCAGTTTTATTTAGTTAAAAGTAGTTTACAATTAGCTGAATTTTCTTAAAAACCTTCTTAGGCTGGAATTACACTATCCAGTTTACTAATCCAGTCAATTCCTCATTTGGGCAAGATCTGATCATTACTGCGCTGTGAGAGGTGGAGTCATCTGCATGTTTGGTGGTTGCATTGGCCAGCCTTCTTGATGATTCTGCAACAGACGGTAGAGTTGCTTCAGCTGAGAAACAATGTTGTCCTTGATATCAGGCGTAGAGATCTGAAGCCGTACACTACCACTGTCAAAGGAACGGGTGAAGTCACCAGAAAACATCTCATAGATCATCCGGGCTACAACTGGAATTACCTGTTTCAAAAGAAATTCCACAACATTATTCTAGATAGAATTATCAATAGCACCAAGCACTCCTAACAAAAATACAATGCATTGGGTCCTTGGTATCTTTTGGGCTTTGGTTCCAGGACCCACCCACCCACAGATACCAAAATTTGTGGATGCTCAAGTCCCATTATATACAGTGGCAAAGTAAAATGGTGTCCCTTATATAAAATGGCAAAATCAAGGTTTGCTTTTTGGATTTTTAAAAAATATTTTCAAGCTACGGTCAGTTGAATCCATTGGTACAGAAGCCATGGATACAGAGGGCTGACTGTAAACCATTTGTAGTGACTGTATTTTCTCATTATGATGTGAGCTGAGTGAATATAATAGTACCATCCTGCATCAGTAGGCATTTTAGAACAGTTATTTTCAAGGACACAATCATTCATGCCTGTTGCAGACATATATGATGTTATTTACAAACACTAACATGCCTGCAAAGGGGCAGGAGGAATGATGCTAATGGTCCTCTATACTGTTTTGTGTGCTTAAAAAGTCTATATGCTCTCTCACTTTTTGTACCATCATTCTAAACAGAAGAATATAAATGCCACTTCACTTAAAAAATGCCATGCCTCATTCATGTCAGCAAACACATCATGGTATTTTTCTAGCTCAGAGTTGAGAACATGCCCCAGGTGGTGGTGGTGGTCTATAACCATTGTCTTTGGTCATACTGACCAAAGATTGTGGAGTTATAACACAACATCATATAGAAACCCATGGATGGGAATTACTCCCATGAACAGGCGTGGGCATAGTGCTGTCCAGGGTCTTGTTTGTGTCCCCAGACTTGTCCTAGAGCCCTCCAAGAATAGCAATTTAATATACAATATCCCCCAAAGACTCTCTAATCACTTAGAATCACTGCCAGAAGTACAAGCAACATCCTTGTCACTCCTGGATTTGCAGCAATTTGCAATTGCTCACCCTGGCCTAAAAGATGGTGCTGTGGGGAAAGATGGCACCATGAATTTATCCTCAGCATAGGCTGTGTTTTCCAGGTTTCTGTTTCATCTTTTAAATTTGCATGAAACCACTAGAAGAGGTCAACTGGAGATATATGGAAGTAAAATATGACAATGTCCTTTTCATTGGGTTTAAGTGAAAGGGGCTTTTCCCCTGAATGTGTATCAAAGTGCATTAGTGAACTGGATGTCCACAAATATATTTAAGTTCATTCCAGTTAAAATAAATGATGGAGAAAGCAGATAAAAAGTGAACACTTAACAAACAAAGCAATGCTAACATCAGTGAAATCATACCTCCCTTTAATGGGCACATCTGCAGTTTTTTGAGTCCTTTGGGACCTTACATTTCTCCTGGTATCCCAGATGCAATGCTTCATTGGCTCACCAGCTATGTTAGCAATGGACTCAATATCATCATCAGTCATGTCTTGGTGACTTCCCAGTTAGGTAAATAGTGTGTGGGTTGTGAAGTCGAAGGCTTTCACGGCTGGCATCCATAGAATTTTGTGGGGGTTTTGGGCTATGAGGTTGTGTTCTAGAAAAATGTATCCCTGATGTTTCGCCTGCATCGGTGGCTGGCATCTCCAGAGAATCTGAAGCAGGCAAAATATCAGGAATACATTCTTCTAGAACAGTTTCACAGCCAAAAAACCCACAAAAACATATAGTGTGTGGGTTGCTCCAGTTTGGAAAGTATCATTCATACAGGATATTATGCCCACATGCACAGATTGACAACATTTTATGCTCATTCTAGATCTTTTTAGTTACTGGTGCATTCAAAGCCTAAGCCAATGTTCTGGTTTTGACCTTTATACCCTTATGCAATCTGGTTCCACGTTTTTAAAGGAACACATTTTCCCACATGCACACACACACATCTAACCCCCTTGGTAGTTG